TATATATATATATATATATAGTTTCCCACCGCCGTAATGTAGCTTCCATGCGCCTTTTCACTAAATACTTTCATGGTAATTAATCTAATGAACATCCCTCTATGTAACTAGACTTCATGAATTTAAGCGCAGTACCAGCCTGGCGGCAAGGTGCCATCATTTTACAACTGAAGTGACTATATGTAACCGTAATTTCTATCTTAACAGTTTCGTCTATCGCACTTCTTGCTTGTCGAACTCTTTTCTGGATTATTGCTTCCCAGTAAACATTGATCTTCAAAAATTTAAATGGTTTTCTTCTTAATATTTATTCTTTTATTGCCATCTATCCGTAATAGTAGTTTTTCCCGTATTCTCTAACAATCAGTAACCTCTTGCGTCATAATGGCTATATTTCCTTATTTAGGATGAAATTATTAATAAAAAAATATAGAAAGGATATATTCAATTATTAAAACATTTTTTTAGTAGCATGTATATATATATATATATATATATATATATATATATATATATATATATATATATAATTATATGAATCATTCATACAAAAAACAAATATAGAAGTTAATGATTTAAATGGCGAGAATACATCTTCGTAAACAATTTCAATGAGGTACACTAACCCCGAACCTGTATATGAATGATATGATCCCTGTTTATAAATTCCAGTTTCATAAGGTATTTTTTAGTTTTTATAAACTTTCGTCTGTTCCTACAGACATCCTCAGCTATGGAAATAGATTTGTTCTTGTTTTTTTACTTCTCGGTAATAACAGGACAACGAAAATATGGATGTAATCCGAAAAAATGCTTTTAGAAATGTGTTATTGTTTTGGAACGTGCGGTCGCAGCGCTGAGTTTGAATTTTAAATTTTAAGGCTGTGCGTTTTTGTAATAATATAGTAATAAGAGAATTCTTTTGTACTGGTAGGTTTTCCGTCTATATATTGTATAATATAGGAAATGTAGGAACAGACGAAAGCTTGTAAAAACTAAAAAAGACCTTATGAAACTGAAATTTATAAAGCTATTTTTGGAATGATTACCGTAGTCTATTCTGCTATTTTGACAGGGGACGGTTTTTTTAATTATAATGATTATTTTCTTTATTTAACTGCATTGACTATTTTTTACTTATATATATAAATAGTCGAGAAAAATCCGACACTCACGGCTTGACGATTGCGTCTAGCATGAAACAGGGTGTCACCTCAGAGTGTTGACTTCAATGTTCACTTATATATATATATATATATATATATATATATATATATATATATATATATATATATAATTTTAGTTTTAAGGTAGGCTATGTTCATGAAAAAATTTTCTCAATATCAGAGATACAGCGTGTGTAAATATAAAATGGACACTGCGGTCAACACCAGGCATTGGCGACAATCAGTTTAATGCTTAAAGGCGATCTTCAGACATTAATATTGCGTTCAAGCATGAAACATTCTATTGCCATTTGGTAGTGATCTCAGTGTCCATTTTATATATATATATATATATATTTATATATATATATATATATATATATATATATATATATATATATATATATATATATATATATATATATATAGAGAGAGAGAGGGAGAAAATTATAATCATATATTTATTACAATTATGGAATATATATATATATATATATATATATATATATATGTATATATATATATATATATATATATATATATATATATATATATATATATATATATATAAGGCAAAAATATATTTTATATATAGATATAAGACACTCGTTATAACATATATAATCAATAATTATATCTATATATATTACAATCATGGCAATTCTTTTTTAATTTCACCCCAACCTCTGTTAACTTCGTCAACTGTAATCGATACAACACTTTCATTTAAATTCCCTCTAAACTGAGTGGCTCTTGAGCCTTGTATTTGGTTAGCATTTAGCAATATCTTACTCTCTATATATGAAAACCGTTTTAAATATTCCCGAAACAAATATATACTTTCTAGTCACAAGGTAAGTATCTGAGTTAAAATATTTCACCTATGCTTTTCAGAGAAATTCATTGAAGCTAAATACAAAATGCGGTACTAGTTCTTTTTTTTTAATCATTTTACCTTAAGCAAGGCAATAATGTCACTAAGATGCAAGAGGTTACTGGAAATGAAAGCGAAAACAGTTTTTAGGAGACTTTTCTTTCTTTTCATGTGCCGTGTCTTTTCAAGACACAGGCGATAATGGCTCTCCACTTCGACCTATACGTTGTTTTTCTCAATAAGTTTCATCCCTCTGCCACCTCCCCCACACCACGTTCTGTTTGCATAAGGCCGCCAGATATGTCATGCCTTTCTTTCCCTGTCTCTCTTTCCTTCTATTCGACCTGTGAGTATCAGATTCTCAAGGCCTTCCTTTTTCATTACGTGTCCCAGAAACTTCAGCTGCTTCTTCTTGATGTTAAGTATAATCTTCCTCCTTGTTTGCATCCTCTCCAAGACGTCATCGTTGCTCACATGGTCAGTCCACGATATCCTTAGCATCCTTCTGTAGAACCACATCTCGCTTGGCTCGTGACTCTTTTCCATCTTTAGGGAGAATGTCCAACATTCACTGCCGTAAAGGAGGACAGATGTTACTTAACAACTCAGTGTTCTTTTTCTTCGTTACCAAAGAAATCCTCCTGTCTCGCAATACTCTGACCAACTTTTGGAATGCATCCTTGGCCATCCCAATACGTCTACGGATCTCAGTTTCGCACTTGTCGTCTTCTGTCACTTCCCAGATATTTAAACTTCCGCACGTGGTTGATTTTAATGTCCCCAACCTGTAAATCGGATTTCGGGCTCATCCTTTTACTGATGACCATACATTCTTTTCTTCTTGTAGTTAATGCTTAGTCCCTTCTTCTCGCTCTCTTTCGCTACCTTCTGTAAGGGGGGGGTGTAATTTTTTTCTGTGTCTGAGGAACAGGTAAAACAATCCTAAAAAGGAAACAACGGATAAACCTGTACCTCTGTTCAAAGGAGATTTTTGTTATTAAAATTTAAATGTAATTTCAATCGTTTCCTTTATAACTCTTGTTCGTTTATTGTTTTCACTCCTTAATCATGTTTTATTTTCCTCATATACTCTCAAACTCTTGCGTCTCAGTGGCTTTTTTGCCTTGATTAATGTCAAAAGATTAAAAACAAATAAAAAAAACAATGAAAAGACAAGTGATAACGTCATATATTTATTAAAAAAAGAATATGACCTTTATAAGCTTGCTGTGTTTTATTCATTTTATTGATGAATGAAAGCAAACACTTTAAAACTATTTTTTTTTATTTTTTATACATCCATTTACACGTGCTAGTTAGGTAAATTATTCAAAGTTAACCTCTTTTTCTCTTCCCTTCAGTATATCCGGTGAGTGTCAAACTCTCCAAGCACTATTTCTTCATTATTCCGTGTCTTTCTTATTCTAAGAATAAATAACCTTTTTGTTTTCATTTTTTCTTAAAGCTTCCTCATTTCTCACATGTTCCGTCCACGGTAATCTCAGCATCCTTCGGTAGAACCACATCACTTTCGTCTGAAATCTCTCCATCAGCGAAGCAATTGTACAGCATTAACTGCTGTATAGGATAGATTTCAGAACTATTTAAAACTATTTTCTTTGTTTAAATTATGAAATGCTTGATTATTTACACTATTTACAATATTCGAACTGTTGCCCTCATCTTTGTTGTCATATTCACAACGTTTCGGCCGACATAAGCTCTGGTCTTCTTCAGGTGATTGGAATTTTGAACCGAACCCTTTATTTCGTCCAGTGGGGTAGATTGTTTTCGTTCCACATGCCATGCCTCTTGCGGATATCTCTGAGTTTCAGTTATTTCCCTTTCGTAACTCAAGTTACCAAGTTCTTTTTTATCACCAGGTATTGAACTCATGACTCTTTGGATCAAATCACTGGATTATATTAACCAACGCTTTTATCTACTGGTCTAGGTGTCCTTGGGCACAGTCTATCCCGGTGGACGGAATAAAGGGTTCTGTTCGAAATTTCAACTACCTGAAGAAAGCCGGAGAGTAAAACGGCCGGAAAGTTGTGAATATGACAATAAAGATGAAGACAACAGTCCGAACATTAAATTGTTAAATACCTCACCTCAGAAATATAGACAGAAAACGTATGATTTTATGTATGTTACTATTTTATTTCTTTATAGGTCAAACCCCGCCCTAAAAAAACACAATTTGGCATTAAATTATTCGTTTCTAATAAATTCTCAGTTTTTCTCATGCGAGCTGAACATCTTTATTGAACCGAATTCCACAATCGTTTTGCGCTTATATTTTCTTTTTCTTCCATGGTCAAGGTATGATAGGATCCTCTTCGAAAATTCTTTGAGATTTAAACGAAAATCAGTGAGAACTTTCTATTGCTTCTGTTGATGATGTACCGATTAAAGGAATACACTTGATTGTATAAAAATACGCAAACACAAGATCTTCATTCCTATCAGAATGTGCTGAGTAATGCTGCAATAATTGTTCTGGTCCTGCTTGCTGTAGATCGTAAAATTCATCTTCGACAGTATTTCTTCCAAATATAGAAATGTACTTGATCTGGCTTCTCTAAATTAGATTGGGCCATTAACACTCTGATGAAGTCAAAGTCGAAGCGTTATCATTCGAACGGAGATAAACATACATTCATAATCTATTCAGTTAAAGCAGTTAGGACAAAGTACGCTTGCACTCATTTGAAATTTCAAAGAAGAAGAAAGGAAGATAAGACGATGACATCTAAATAGGACTAACGAAAGAGAAGATATGCGGGAAGAAAAAGAAAAAAAGTGAGAAGAAAAGGAAGAAGAAACAAGTAACGAAGGAAAACAAGAAATATTGCAGAAGAAAAAAGTTTGTTTTTTTTAGAAAAGAAAGCTTTTGACAGTAATAAATAAATAGAAATAAAATATGTTATATATAAATATAGGCAGGAAAGATATTGATGTGTGTGAGTTTCTTTCGATTTATATTTCAGTGTGCTTTTATTTTGTTTTTATTACTGAGTGTGTTTCTTTCGTTTTTGTATCTGTGTGTCTTTCTTTTTATATTTCTGTATGTCTTTCTTTCGTTTTTATTTCTGTGTCTTTCTTTGGCTTTTATTTCTGCGTATCTTTCTTTCGTTTTTATTTCTGTGTGTCTCTCTTTCTTTTTATATTTCTGTGTGTCTTTCTTTCGTTTTCATTTCAGTGTGACTTTCTTTCGATTTTATTTCTGCGTTTCTGTCTTTGGCTTTTATGTCTGTCTCTTTCTTTGGCTTTTATTTCTGCATGTCTTTCTGTCTTTCGTATTTATTTCTCTGTGTCTTTCTTTTTTTAAATATTTCTGTGTGTCTTTCTTTCCTTTTCATTTCTGTGTGACTTTCCTTTGTTTTTATTTCTTTGTGTTTTTATTTCTTTCGTCTTTATTTTTGCGTTACTTTCTTTCGTCTTTATTTTCTCTTTGTTTCTTTCTGCCTTACTTTAGTTTTTATTTTTGTGTGTCTTTGATTGCTTATTTCTCCGTCGAATATAGGTCCATTATATGTTTTTCTTAATTTATTTAGATTAATACAAACCAAACAGAAAGAGAAATGCCTTAAAATCATCGTTTGGTTTGATTCTACTTCTTCTCAGATAGATAGATAGATAGATAGATAGATAGATATGGACAGACATATATATATATATATATATATATATATATAGATAGATATATGGAGATATATATATATATATATATATATATATATATATATATATATATATATATATATATATATATATATATATATATATAGATATAGATAGGTAGATAGATATGGACAGACTGAAATAGATATGAACAGACATAGATAGATAGGTACATATATACATATATATATAGATAGATAGATAGGAAGGCAGGCAGGTACTTTTAGTAGGATTTAAGTATAACAGTCAGTAATATTTCTAATTGTCGCGAATATTTATGTTTATATACATACAATATCATTTTATCGGAAAATCAGATACTTTGTGGGATCCTACTCAGTAGATCTAACATAGGAAGTAAAACCAGATCAGTAGATCAAGCATAACCATTAAAACCTCCACAGTAAATCTAGCATAGGCAGTAAAATTTCCTCAGTAGATATCTCTAGGTAGAAAAACTTCCTCAGTAGATCCAGCAGAGGAAGTAAATACAACTCAGTGATCTAGCTTATACAGTAAAACCACCTCAATAGTTCTGGGCGATGCAATTAAACCTCATCTGTAGATCTAGCATATGCAATAAAATCTTCTCAGTAGACCTACCATAGACAGTATAACATCCTCAGTAGATCTAGCTGAGTCAGTAAATCCTACTCAGTAGATCTAGCAAGAGTAGTAAAACTACCTCAGGGGTCTAGCAGAGGCTGTAAAACGTATACATTAGATCTAGCAGAAACAGTAAAACCTTCTCATTAGATCTCGTATGGACGTTAAAACCTGCACACTAGGTTCTAGCAGTGGCGGTAAAACCTCAGTAGTTCAAGCAGAGACAGTAAAACCTCCGGAGTAGATCTAGCATATCCAGTAAAATCTCCTCAGCAGATATATCAGAGGTAGTAAATTATCCTCAGTAGATCTAGCATAGGTCTAAGACCTATTCAGTAAATCTAGTATGATAAGTAAAAGCTCCCCAGTAGATACATCAGTGACAGTAAAACCTCCTCAGTATATCTAGCAGAGGCAGTAAAACCTCCTCAGTATATCTAGCTGATGCATTAAAACCTCCTCTGTAGATCTAGCCTAGGCAGTAAAATCGTCTTATTAGACCTACCATAGGCAGTAAAACACCCTCCGTAGATTTAGTGGAGTCAGTAAATTGTACTCAGTAGCAAAGGTATTAAAATCAACTCAGTAGATGTAACAGAAGCAGTAAAACCTTCTCAGTAGATCTAGTATGGGCCTTAAAATCAGCACAGTAGGTTCCAACAGCGGCGGTAAAACCTCAGTAGTTCTAGCAGAGTCAGTAAAACATCCTCAATAGATCTATTATAGGCAGTAAAACCTCCTCAGTAGATCTAGCATAGAGATGACTTCCATCAAGGTGATCTCATCCCACTCATACAATTTCATTACTTGAGCCAATACACTAATACCATAGCAGCACTTCTCGACAAACATTAGATTTATGGCTCCACAATTGTAGTTCGAGATTATCCCAGATAATTTTTTGATTTTTAGTTAAAAAAACATTGCTTTCTCTGTAGCTGTTTGTTCAATCCCTTGGTCTGTGTTCACTCTAGTCTACATTTTCGCTTTTATTGCTAAGCTTCTTGTAATTTCAAACCAAGCCTTTTATTTAATCTAAATCAGTCAGTTATGTGCCATGCGTGATACACGCTTAGGCGATCCTGTGTCTTTCGATACATGACTGACGAGGCAGATTTTTTTCCCCGCAGTAGATTACCATTTCTTTCTGCGGTAGACCAGTTGCTGTCCAAGGCAGTCAGCTATTTGCCCATCGCTGGGATGAGGAGAAGAAAAGGATTCATACCTTTGCCAAGGGTATTAGCACGAATGTGAATGTAATGGATTCGAATGGAATTCGAACTCGGCTCTCCAATTCATCAATCCGAGCCGCGACCCATTACTCCACCGTGCCTCCAAAAGAATAGTTTATTTCCATTCCAAGGGATATTTCATGCAAATAAAAATATAAGAAAAAGTTTTTTTAACCGACGACTTTCATTCTCTGATGGGAAAATGTAAAGATTATATTTTGCAACAATTATTTATAAACAAAAGTAAATATGATAGTTTTCCATAATTGTTACATTAAAGAAACGCGAAGAAATATACATTATGCTAACTGGATATCAAGGGAATTTATGGAGAATGCTTTTTCATATAGAGTTAACGGTTGACGATGTGGTTAAATTTTAGTGATAAGAGGAACCATCATCTCGGGAGTCTGTTTCACAAATCTGCGGCTCTTGGTAAGAAACTCTCCGAATGGAACTTTCTTATTAATGAAATACGAAGAGAAATAGGAAGATCCGTTTCTGTGTATTTGGCATGGCTGCTTTTTATATGTAAAGGTCTGAACTGCCGGTACTATAGTATGTAGCTCGTTAGAACATTTTCCATGGAAATAGCGATAGAGTAGTGCAAGGCTAGATTTGTATGTGGGTAATGGTTTGGTTTGGTTTGGTTTGTTTTACGGCATATTAACCTCAATGGATTATTTAATGCCGACATATTTTTAGTACTGGTAATATTTTTTTTCCAAAAATGTATTTCTGATTATTTTTTTTTTTTCAAAAATGTATTGCTGGTAATAATGTATTTCTGGTAATAATTTTTACAAAAAGTATTTCCGATATTAACACCTATTTTTACACTTTCATAGTGTTTTGACCCCAGTTTAGGGGTTAACTATTTGCCCATAGCTGGGACCCTAACAGGTGCTACTAACTCGGGTCAGAGTGGACCTGTGAATACCAGCAATTAAAAGTTGGTTCCACGCTCCTCAAAACCTCCTGATCAGAGGCCTTGCTGCTGGACGTAGTTTATCGTCATACCCAGGACGGGGGTAATGGTTTCTATGATGAAAATAATTAATCAACCAAAGGCCGCGTAAACTCTCTTGTACTCCGTCAAGGCAAGAATGTGAGGATTGTGCAGCTCCAGTCCAGATATGGCAGCAATACTCCGTTTTTTGTCTGATCCAACTCTTGTGAATATAGAGGATGGCAAAAGGAGCCAGGTACTTTGTAAATCGGTAAAGAAACCGACTATTTATTTAGCATCTTTAATTATGTTTAAAATTCGAAGACGTTTACGAGTACAATGTTGGACACCTGAAGAAGGCTAGAAGGTAAAAGGCCGAAAGGTTTTGAGTATAACATAATGTTCACTCTATAAAATGACCAAGAGCCACTCAAGGTAGAGGTTTACTGGAGAAGGTTGTTGTATGAATGGCAATGGTAAAAGTTAAGAAGTGCAGTACATGTGAATATGTTGAAATGATAATGGCTAACATTAGACTTGAAATGGTCGGAAAATCATTCTCAGGAAAGTTGGTTCCAAACATCACTCGTTTAATTTTATTTGAATTTGCTTCCCTTTAAGCGAATTGTCTCAGGAGAATATGATGATCATATCCTATGCCCTTGTATCGATCTTGATTTAAGAGTCCGTTTATATATATTTTTCTTTCGTGTTTTCTGATATGATTCCAAGATTTGCTAAAATTGTTTTCGTCTTGTTCGTTAATGCCAGGCCATATCATCCTATCCACAAAAAAGTACTTGACAAATAAAAGAATGTGAGTCCCAAATGAAAAACCCTTATATAAGGTTTCGGCAGTTTCAAAGAGTTGATATACTTTTCTGTTCCTTGCCACTATGATTAACAGCCTTTCATACCCTTTTTTGTACTTCTGCCTTTCTCATTCGTTTTATCATTCGCATCTTTCACTTCCCCATCGCAATTCGCCACAAAGCCATTTTCTCGGAATACACGTTTCCCGTTTTTCTTATGTTTTCCCTTTTTTTTTATTTTAATATATTTATTTTTTTCATCTGAACATTTCTCTACTCACCCATACATAGCCTTGTTTTGCGCGTGCGTGAAAACTACCCAACCCCATACGATTCCGAGCCATTTTTCCATAGAATAATTTCTGGAAATATCACTGCAAGTAAAAATATGAAAAATTCAAATCCCCGTAAGGATATTTGTCAGAAACAACAAATCATTTACTCGGGAATGATTATAAAAAAAAAAGAAGAAAATTAAGGATGTTTTTCCATATCTCGTCATTTTTTTAAAAAATGTGTCTTCTTCTTTTTACTTCTTTATTTTGCTATTACTGCTATTAATAGTAACATTAATAGTAGTTGTAGTTCTTTTAGTAGTTGTCGCAGTTTTGGTAGTAATTGTAGTAGCAGTAGCTGTTGTTGTCATAGTAGTTGTAATTGTTTTAGTAGTAGTAGTAACAGTAGTAATAGTAGTAGTATTGCACTTTTACATCAGAGCTAGCAATTTGTTATCACTAGATAATAAGTGAAACCAAGACTTCTTTCTGTATTTATTGGCATGTAAGACCAAAATTTAAATAATAATAATAAATCAAAGATGGTGGTATTATGACGAGATGATCATCTACCAATGCCGTTGGAAAACTTGTCTCCTTCAGGGCTTACACGTTCTTAGCAACATTCATGAATCAGGCACACAGATAGATAGATAGATAGATAGATAGATAGATAGATAGATAGATAGAAAGAAAGAAAGAAACATAGATAGAAAGAAAGAAAGAAACAGATAGATAGAAAGAAAGAAAAAAAGAAACATAGATAGAAAGAAAGAAAGAAACATAGATAGATAGATAGATAGATAGATAGATAGATAGAAAGAAAGAAAGAAAGAAAGAAACATAGATAGAAAGAAAGAAAGAAAGAAACAGATAGATAGAAAGAAAGAAAAAAAGAAACATAGATAGAAAGAAAGAAACATAGATAGATAGATAGATAGATAGATAGATAGATAGATAGATAGATAGAAAGAAAGAAACAGATAGAAAGAAAGAAACATAGATAGAAAGAAAGAAAGAAAGAAAGAAAAATAGATAGATAGATAGATAGATAGATAGATAGATAGATAGACAGACAGAAAAAATTAACAGACAGATAGAATTTAATAGACACAGATAGATATATAAAAATTAACACACACACACACATACATACATACATACATACATACATACATATCTATATAGATAGATAGATAGATAGATAGATAGATAGATCGAAAGATAGATATTTATAATAAAGCATTAACAATTTTTCAGCCATGAATACATTACACCTCCCGCATATCCAAGCTTCAAGCACCTGCTATTCACAAGCGTTCACCCATCTAGGTACTGACAAGGTTCAACGTTGCTTAAACTTCTGTATTCGAACGTGATGTGGCCGTTAGTTGAAAGGAAAAACGGAATATAAATTCATACATACCGAAGGAAGAGATGGCGACAATAGAAAGAAAGATGAAGTGATTTGGTGACAGGAGATCTCGAGATAATACAGATAACGCTAAAAAGGCGGGAAAAAGGACGACGTATAAGAAATCCTTATAGAGGCATCGAAGAAAGGAAATTAGAAAAAAGTGGACGCGGTAAAAATATATATTTATACATTCCTTATTATTAATTCATGTTTGTATAATGGTAATGGTGATATTACCCGTTTCCTTACAAGGAAACTTTTGGAATTCCTTGACCGAGCAGTGACCGGTTTTCGGTTGAAATTCATCAAATCTTTCTCTTAAAACCATTTTTCCCGCAAAATAGTTATCTCTAGTCCATTAACTGTTATCGCTCTTTCCAGTATTGATGGAATTTTTCTTCTTAACTTTTTGTTTGTAGCAGTGTAGAATGTAAACATCTTGATTATGTCATTATTTGATTATTCGAGTTACATGTGCTATCCATTTTTGTCGTTGCTGCTGTTGGTAGTCCTCAAGAGATGTGGTTTTTCTTATTTGGTAGAGTTCTTTGTTTGTGATTCTGTAGCGCCAGTTCACAATGTTCAAAGAGGTCTGATCTTTGCCAAGATCTACAGGCTTCACTCGTTCAAAGCCATTTTTTCACCATTGATCTTAGAAAGCGGTTGTACACAACTGACAGTTTAGATATTTCTGAATGTTTTTTGTGACATGTCAGGCATCCATATGAAAGTCTTGACCTGACAGGCTATTAAAAACATAACTCGAGTTTTCAGGTTGATGTTTTGGTCTTGTAGCGATTGGCAGTGTTGGGCGAAACTAACTCTGCCACATCCTATACTATGATCAATTTCTTTTTTCTCCTATACTGAATTTGTTATAACTGATCCATACGCCGAGGTATCTGAAGTGTTCAGTACTTACTAATTCCACATCCTGATTTTTATGATAGATTCTGGGCAGATGACATTAACGCTTTTATTCCAATTCCAGATGATAGATTCTCCTTTGGAAAGATTTATCTTGAGTTCTATTTCTTGGAACACTTGTTATTGGATATTGATTTTCTATTCAAGATCATTCTTATCCCAAATGTGAATACCTATGTTATCAGCATAGCCCCCCCCACCACCACCACCACCACTCTCATCATGGGTACGTTGGACTTGAGAGGAAAATCAGGATCATTTTCTTCTACTGGTAGATTGCTTTTGCCTTTTTCTATCTTACAATCATTCTCGAACGAAGATTAACGAGTAAGTAAGAATTTGATGTCGCAACTCCTACTAAAGGTTGCAGTGTCTCATTTTTTAGAAGCGGTATCTTCTTGCCGTTGACACTGGTGTCTTTTAACATCTCCCTACATTTCAAATGTGGGATTTTGACAGCGTTTACTCCCGTAATGCCTGCACTACCCAGCAATTTCCCAAGTTCTGCTTAGACTGGTTAATTTCGGTTATCAAACCAGAACTAGTGACTTCAGCGTGGTTTGACCATATAAAAGTTAAAGAGAGAGAAAGAGAGAGAGAGAGAAAGAGAGAGAGAGAGAGTGGGGAGATGTGTACCTCGGAATAGATAACGGAAGGTTGGTTTGTTGATTTTGTTCAATGGCATACCAACGTCTAGGAATTATTTAATACCAAAATCTAAATATTTTAGCATAATTTTAAAGCTTCAACTAAATATAATTTAACCGCAATTGCATGACTTCAACTAGAGATAAAAATTTTATTGATCACTTTCTTATAAAATGTATTGTTCGTAATTATATATATATATATATATGTATTCTTAGTAATTTGTTTCTATAAAAATGTATTGCTGGTATTTTTTTACTAGAAAAATGTATTTTCATACTTTCATAGTATTTTGCCTGTGAGTTCACTTTTTGCCCATAGCTGGAATCCTAACAGGTACTACCACCCTGGATCAGGGTCGATTAGGGAACAACAGCAATTAAGAAGTAGTTTTACGCTCCTCAAAACCTCCAATTTCCCGATCAGAGGCCTTTCTGCCGGATGTAGTTTAAGGTCATGCCCCAGGACTAGTGTGCCTGTTTAGGACTCTTCCAAGTACACCAACAATGATGGGTACAATTGTCATCTTCATATTACTAAATGTATGTCTTTCTATTCTCTAGAAAGATCTAGATATCTTTTCAGGCTTTGAAATCTTTGTCATTTTTACATTACAGTCTGCTGAATTAACGGCACCCAATACCAGACAAGCTATTTTTCTTTCTTTACAATAATTCAATCTAGTAAACTAGCCTCGATCAAGTGATACATCTGAAATTCCAAATCCGATATAATTTATTACTTTTCGCATGAACAGCTTCAGCGGATATAATTCTGGTCCACATAATCAAATCATAATTGTTTTGCACAGTTTCCGCTTAATCACTGTTCCTATCCAGTCATTGCTACTCGTTTTGCATCCTGTCTAACATGTTACGTTCTTCTATATGATTGAAATTATTGTTATTAATATTATTGTTATTGAGTGAAACAGCAACGCGCTAACAATTTGACACTGGATTTGCATACATACTTAGCCCGATACACCCATCATGACACCCAGGTAACTACAGGCACGGGCATCGTAACCTAATGTATGCGGGATGGTGGCACGTTTTGATACAAGCAGCGCATAACCTACCAGGTTGGGGCCGGGTAGAAATACCTTTATTTTGCGTAACCCATTCCGCTTAGACCCTGCAATTGAGCGCGTTGCTAAGCATCTAGATTATGATCCCCATGCCTTGTATTACATAATTTTCTCTTCTCATTCACGTTCACTCAGTCAGAGGTTATTTATTTTATTTTTAAACTTATTACCGCGTTCGGACTGTTGTCATCATCTTCATTGCCATATTTACGACGTTTCGGCCATTGTACGCCCCGACCTTCTTCAGCTGATGTTGAAATTTCGAACCCTTTATTTACTGTACGGTGGTAGATAATCCTCTGTAGGATGAAGTGGAAATAATAGACAGAGAACATCACAGGAAAATATGAAAACTTAAGGAATCGGCGAATATGCTAATCCACAAAAATCTTCTAAGCCAATCAAGCATAGACATAAATACAATATGGGAACCAGTAATACAGAGAGCTGTAAAAAAAACAACAATAACATACATTGCAGTATGAGCTCTGGTAAAAAAAATTGGTTAAGGAGACATTAGATTTATAAGTTCCAAAAATTCACTCACTGAGGGAAAGTGGATAAAAGTGTTGGCTGAATAATCCAAAAAGCGATTTAACCCAAAGTAGAGAGAACGCAAACATGGAGTGTTAAGTTAATAAAGGAAATTAAATGATACTAAAAATAATTAATTGATCGCCCCCATCCAAAAAAAACGGGATGGCACGTGGAATTAGAAAAATCTACCCTTGTGGACTAAATAAAGGTCTTGGTTCGCAATTTCAAGCTATATCACCTGAAGAAGGTCGGAGTGTACAACGGCTGAAACGTCGTGAATATGGCAATAAAAATGTAGTGTAAACAGTTACCTCATCTCAGAAATATAGGCAGAGTCTTCAGGTTACTTATTGCTTGCATTGAGTTGTCAGTTTGGGTGTCGAAATAACAAAAGTAATTTGTGATTTTTGCTTTCCAGGACAACAACCTTTAATTTGTGCTGACACCATTTGTCTGCATCGTCGAAATGATTTCTTTTGCATAGTCCCAAGTGTATGGTTGTTCCAATCTTTTCATGCCCAATTTTGTTTTCTTTTTAAGTTAGCTCGCTATTTCATTATTTATTATTACTGCTTTAACTCCCTTAGGAATTGGCAAAAATCTACACAATCTCAACGGCCAAACCAGCGGAATAAGGCAGCATGTAACGAAAGCGGACTTTGACAGACGAAGCATCCGACAGCCCGAAGCAGCCAGGTTTTCCAGATCTCCTCTGTCTCAGTCCCCTTTGAGTCGTGATGGAGGGGCTTTCTGGCCAAGTGTGTAGGCGTCTCAGTCGCGCAGAGTTGTCCAGCAAAATCAAATTCACGCTAATGGCCTCGTTAAAGCCTCTTTGATCCACAACCATCTCCGCTAACCAGTAGGGAGAAAGGGAATAGCGAGCGAACGGGTTCCGACAAAAACTCCCTAATTTTCAAAGCAGACATGACTCGTGGTTTTCAGTGCCGATTAAGTGAGATTAAGTCTCTTTACTACATCACGATATTCTTGCTGATTTTAGTAGTGCTGTCGTCTGGATAATCTCAATTATTCTCTGAAATTCCAGTTCTATTGATCACGGGATTGTTTCCAGAATTCTAACAACTACTGGTCCTACTGTCATTTTCATTCTTGGGAATTTTTTTTATTTCTGTGAGAATATCAAAATACTTTCAGTTCTAATTCGTTTCTTTATATGGTTTTATATCATTGAATTTATTAACGTTTTCTCTTTCTCGTTTTGTCTTTCTTATTTTCTTTTTCTGTGCTTCTCTTTCTTCTTTTTTCTTTTTTCTTTTTTCTTTTTTTTTTCTATCGATTTATTTCATCCATTTTTCTTTCTTCTGCATATATTTTACGACTTATTAAAATTGTTTTCTTTGCGCACTCTCTTTCCTTTCGCCATATTTTTGCGCTTTTGATGCAACATCTCCAAGATAATTGTTTTTCTATTTTCTTTACTTGTTTTTTTTTTATTATTTTCTTTCTGAGTTTAGTGTTTTACTTATTTATGTGTTTATGCATCCATTGACGAAATTCTTCTTGTATAAAT